CTCTCTCTCTATTAAATTGTCATTTAAATCATTGCCTTAATTAAATAGTTTTAATTAAAGGTTGATTTTATTATTTTGTTCTGTCCGAAATTTGTCGTGTTGCAAGGTTCAACAAACATTTTCGGTTCCAGTTGCGCTCAGTCTTGAACGCCAGCTCAAATCCGAGTTAAGTTGACCGCCTGAAACCTCCGTTCAACCGTGGTTCAGCGCCGGGACTGTCATATTATAACCTAAAGGTGTTTCTGCATACCAAACGACTCGAATTTCCTCACTCATGTTGTTATGACTAAATCGAATGGTCAATTCTCTATCGAACGATGTCAAAACTAATTCTGTGGCTCAAATGGTTCTTGAGAAACACCGAAAAAAGCAGCGTCATGTTTGTCCATTTTGCAACAACTCAAATATAAAAGTTCTTGTAAGCAAGACCCTTTTGAGAAAACTGTCAACATTTCCTTTCTCTCTGGACTGATATAAAAATGAGCGTTTTGGCCCATTTTGCCTCCGAGAAATGAGCAGAAAAGGAACGAAAAACATGAAATTTTGGCGTAATATTGCAAATTAATTAGTCCAGTACAACAGATCCGAGTTCCGATCGGGGTGGAAACTGAACTCGTGAAAAACTGAACTAGGGTCAGCGGTGACTAGCGGTTCAGCTGAACCATCGTGGAACTTGCTTTCACCGGAAACCTCACCGGAAAAAAAAAGACGCTGGGCCAACTTTCCGCCGCGGGACAGGTGCGCGCGCGTTCCCTTTTCTACAAAAACGCGTTTTTGCTTTTATGTCCAACTCACCTTAAATATTCACATTCATTGTGGCTCAAATATTAGACATATCTGATATTTGAGCCGCCTATAAAGAGATATATAACCACTTATAAAAGGTTCAAAAAAGCAGCAAAGCAAAGCATAGAGAGTTCGTACTCCGAATAGTGAACATCGTGCTACGCATTGCGCTCTGCAGAAACACAGTGTATTTCGAAGTTAAAACTATCTACAAGAAATT